CAGAATCCAGGGCTATCATGAGGTACTATGCAGAAAAATACAGGTCTCAAGGGACTGAATTGTTGGGAAAGACGGTGGAGGAAAGAGGTCAGGTAGAGCAATGGCTAGAAGTCGAAGCACACGAATTTGCCCCACCAGTTTACAATTTAGTAATTCATATAATGTTTAGCACCAAACTGGGGATTACAGCTGACCAAAAGCTCATCCAAGAAAGTGAAGAGAAACTTCACAAAGTTTTGGATATCTACGAAGAGAGGCTATCAAAGAGCAAGTACTTAGCTGGTGATTTCTTTAGCCTTGCTGATTTAAGCCACCTTCCATTTGTTCAGTACCTTACGGATCCTCTTGGAAAGGAGCACGTGATAAGGGATAGGAAACATCGAAGTGCATGGTGGGATGATATCAGAAATAGGCCATCATGGAAGAAGGTCCTTCAACACTATCCCCTNTGAGTGCATGGTGGGATGATATCAGTAATAGGCCATCTTGGAAGAAGGTCCTTCAACACTATCCCCCTCCAGATCTATCCTAAATCCGGATATCTATCCAACACTCGACCGACTATGTTTTGAGTAATCTTGTAGCTTGTCTTGCTTGCATGCTCTCTTGGAGTCTTGTGTATCTTTTAGATTGTCTTGCTGGCATGTTGTCTTGGAGTTGTGTTCCGTTTTAGACTGTCTTGCTTTTAATTAATGTTGAAGTCTGCATTATAAATAAAAGTCGAATTGAATGAATTCTCCCTGATACATGTCAAAGTAATAAAAATTTATGCATATTCTAGCAATTACTCTACTGAAATCATATTATGTTGATCCACGTTTGCCACATCATTTTCAGTCATCAAGAGATAAGATTGCCAGAAAATCACAAGCTCGTGCATTTGAAGATTAAACAAGGAAAAAAATCTAATAATTAATAAGGATTAATAAATCTTGGGCCCACCTCTCCCAATACTAGTAATCCAAAGGAATTATAAAAATAATTGAAGCACACTAGGTGTCTTTGCAGTCATTCTCATCTTTGATGTTTCCATTAGATGCAGTTGAAGTTTTGTCGGCTCCTCGGAATGTTGCAAGTAATTTTGGTTTTCTTTCATGTTACACCTTCAATGTGTTTTTCGCGTTTGTATGTGCTCTTTATGTATTTTAATAGCTTTAAGGTAAGAAATTTAGTAGTGGATTTGAGTATGATAAGCTTGTATTTATTGCAGGGATTTTTCAAAATTCCTTTGAATTTTTCTGTGCATTTTGTTTCATTGATGTAGGTATTTGAATTTAGAGTCATATAACTTTTATTTGATTTTATTTTTGTTTATTTAAGAAATTTGCACACACTTTAAATGTAAAATAGATTTTTTTTGGAAAAAGTGAATAGATAAATAAGAATGGTGGTGGATAAAAATAGCGGCTCCCAAAAATAATCCTAATATTAGGAACTCTTGAGAAGTCGATGAAGAAAGTCCATTAATAATTTGGATTCTTAGTGGGCTACTTCCTTTGAAACACAAGAATTATTGGACATTATAATACGACGACAACAATATTCTTTCTTTTGAAATCCCCAAATCTTGAACCAGTTCACGAGTGTGTTCAAACGTGAGCAAGAACAAAGATATGACAGGGCCTTTGTTTGAGCCCCATTTTTTGAAAAAAAAAAAAATGTATTTTTAAATAGTGTTTTGATCTCATTTCAACCATACATTCTTCAATAAAATAATATCACACGTAAATCCAAAATTTTTCCTTATTTTTTAACAACACATTTCCCACCCATACACTACTAAAAAATGGGACTATTAAAAAATGGGACTCAAACAAGTCCTGAATAAAAAGAAAGACAAGGGGCTAATGCTTTTATAATACAAATTATGGTGTCGAGCCTTTTAATATATACAGCAGACGGGGAATTAATTTCTTCAAGCGCAACTTCATGTGATTGACTATCACAAGCCTTTCTTTTATATGCCAATTCCTTGTCCAATTTTCTATCTGCTTTTCATCATCTCTTTATCTTTCATAACTTGGTGATATCATAGAACATGTTGAAGGCCTCTGCACTAAAATAGAAGATGCACGTGAATTTATTGAATTTAAACACAATTCTCAACATTTCATTTCATCCATTGAAATAAGATTCCATCGAACACATATATTACACAGAAGCTCAACCCAAAAAATAAAGAATTCACATCAGTTGAATATAACTCATGTTGCACACATATTTTTCCCAACACGGACCATTCATGGCTGAGGATGTACTGTTAATATGAAGTTTCTCCAATGAGCTCTTTTTATCGGGAATTTTGTGCGAAATTTATATTATACATTGCATATTGTTAAGGCCACAATGATGAAGATTAGTAATTATATATTCAGTAGTTTCACTACTTTGAGACAGTTTTGCTTGGCTGAAGAGTGTTTAGATTGTATGATAGTTATTCACACTTCCATTAATTTCTTCTTTTGCAATGTATATGTGCGATACATGATTGGAAAAAATATTAATTGAATCTAACTGTACAAAATTAAAATCTAATGCTAACTAATTTGGACCGGTCTCGTTGATTGCTTGGTATCCTTTACATAACCTGCAAGATGGTGCTTATAATGGATATACAAATCGTGGTTGATAATTGGCAAAATTATGTTGATGATAATGGTTTTTAAGAGTGTCCGTGAGTTTGCTGTAGCGGAATTGATCTTTGATTTGTGGAATCCGGGCTCAGTTTATCAATCTAACCGAAATCGACCACCTCAATTAACGACCCAAAAACCACAACTATTTTCCCACACTTCGGTTGCTATGGTTGCACCTACAAAGGACACAAAGTGACAGTGTTATTACAGCTACAAAGGCACCCACTCAAGCAGTCACAAAGGCAAAAGGAAGAAGAAAACCGAATGAAAGAGACAATGAAGAAGCATAATTCTCTCTTTTAAGGATGGGAATAACACACTTAAACATCACAAAAATGGGCAGCAAATATATAAGGTACATTATGTATAGAGAGAAAAAGGCCAAGTCCAAATCAACATATGAGTGTTATAAGCCATCTAAGAAGTGGGGAAATGGGCCACGAGCAGCTCTAACCAAGTTATGGTATCTCCAATAGCCCAAATAGTTCTAGGTTTGTGTCATTCCATTGATGTGTCAATATTTCAATTTATCCAACATCGGTGTAACATCATCGCTCGGGATTTATTGGGTATTAAAACCCAACAAATCTTCAATTTGATACCCAATCAACTTACAAACAATCAAAAAACATAAAGTTACGCTTGCATAATCAAGACAACCAATAAAATTGGAATCACAGACCTTATCTCGTTTTTCGGACCCGAAACACATAATATATTTGCTCCATGTACTCACTAGGGCTAAGGTCATAAACAATTACCCAAGTACAAGTAGATAATCATAGTAATCAATCAAGAGCAAATAATTATGCGATGGAGATATAACATAGGATAATCCACATATCTTTTCCAAAATACGTTCACATAGAACAACAGATTAGCACTAAGTCAATCAATCAAACGGTGAAAACACATATTCAATAAATGCATAAATGACCACACGAAAAAATCTCATCACACTTATCATATCCCATTCCTTATTGTTTATACCTCGAGAATACATATCTCCTCTCATCACTCACCATGCTCACTAGATTAATCACTCAACTCATGTCTAACGGTAGAACTATATAGATCCTAAGTCGTTGATATAATCTTCCATCACCACATCATTTTTCTAACCTAAATGGATAATGAGTCTCCACCTAACAAAAGTGATATGAGTGTTTCTCTCACACTCCACTTGATCAAGGTCTCTTCACAGATAAATGATTCCAACATTTAATCACATCTCCACTTGTGATCCAAATGTCACACTCCACATCCGTGGTACAAACCACCAATGTACCTCTAAACATCTATACTCAACATCACCAATAGACACTCAACACACATACTGCTAATGCATCTTAACCTACTATGTATGCAAACAATTACACCAAGTAATTAAATTACTCTCAAATTCATGCAAATGCACATATCAAACACATTAAAATACACATATAATCATGCAACAAAATTAAGCAATCACACACATGCAGTAACTAGGTTTACTCTCAATAAACCTCACTAGGGTCATCACTCGACACTAAAACTACATTCGTCTCGTCTGGTCTCGTCTCTCAACTTACCTTTCTGCTTATCATTTTTCTTGGACTAGTCCTTAATAAAATGTCCAGCCTTACCACAACTGTAATATCGTCAACCACTAGACATGTCCCATCTTTTGCCTTTCTTATTGCCACCATCATCACTCGAGTCACTACTCTAATCACTATTGTCTTGAATTCTACCCAAATTCATCCGTTCAAACATCATTCTACTCCTCATCATATGCAACTCACCACTTCTCTTATTTTCTTTTTCAGCATTAATCTTGATCTCCTTACTCCTAAGGAAATCTATGACAATCTCGGGAGCTAAAGTGTCCTTACCATAATTAATTGTATTTTTAACCTCTCTATATGAATCGGGCATAGAATGCAGTAAAATAATGGCCTTATACGTTTCAAACACTTTCTCATCACAATTAACGATATCTTGAACATGTTTGTTGAAAATATCCAGATTATCATCAAAATCTTTTGAAGGGTCCATCTTAAAACTGAAAAATCTTTCAAACAAGTACAATTTTTCAAGAGTAGACTTAAGCAAATATAAGTCCTCCACTTTTGCCAAAATTCTTTTGTAGAATCAAGTTTTCCAACTTTTCTCAAAACAGTGTCAGATATGTGTAAAATAATTGAAATGTAAGCAATTTCGTCATATTTCCCTTTTTGTGCTTCTGTCAAATTTGCAGAAAATTTGCTATCTATAGCTTTTGAGACTTTTTGTTGAATCAAAATTCCTTCATATTTTGTTGTCAAATGGAAAATTTTCCTTTCCCATTGAAAATTTCAACTTCAAAATGTGAAGACATTTTGAAAA